CTAATATTTTAGATTTATTAGTTTCTCAGTGAGAGTGATCTTTTGATAACAACCGGATCATCCAATTCGCTTATCAATACAAACCCTTCCATTGTAAGGTATTTATATATATTTCCAAACTATCGAAAATTGCTTCGAATCACTATAATTTTCTCTCTAGTTATTGGGATTACGATGTTTTATAGATATTATTAATTCAGCTTCGATTGTATGACGAAACTGATTAGTATACGTAATTGATTGATATCTATGATTCATTTAAAGTTAAAAATGGTTTAAATTCTAGTTCATTTTTTCAAAGTTTTTGAGAACAAAATGAATAACGATAAAAAGCATGCAAAAGAGAATTTTTTGAATATAAAAATATTCAAAAAGTTATTACATTCTGTTTCACAACAGTAAAGTCAGAGTCTTGTGTGAATAACGTCGCGCTGAGTCACTAAAAAAGTAAAAGAACAACGTGTCATAGTGGTTTTTTTGCATTGATCGCGTTTTCTTTCTTTCTTTTCACCTAATAAACAATATCAAAAATAATTGGATTCTTTTTTAGAGAAAAACTTAATGCCATGCTGGTACAAGCAGAAAAAATATCTTAATATTGATACTGAATCATGGTTACTTCTACCATTGCTTAAACGTATTCATGTTCAATCTATTCAAGATAAACAGTATAAACGTCTTCGAAATTGTAGAAATATATTATCTTATTTACACATTTGCCCTTTTGTATTACTAGTATTTCAATTTCATAATAGATTCTATAATGCATGGAAGGGTCCATTTCATATGAATCTTGATGAATTTACAAGACAATTGAAATCATACACTGAACTGGAATATGATACACGATCTATCTTTTCTTGTTGGTTTTCATTTCGTCATGAATATGTCCAACTAGAACTTGGTGAAGATATGATTGAACAGAATATATTAAAAGCATTGCAAATGTTCAATAGTAAGCATTCATATGAAAAACTATTGTATACATTGAATCATGTGAAAGAATCAATTACTGATGGTGGTTATTATAAATACTATGTCAAATTACCATCAAATGAACAATTTCATATTCACCGACGTCTTTCATATAAGTTTTAAGCTTTTAATATTTATACATTACGATGCATTGTTCGATAACTTGATGTTTCATCTACGGAATATCTCAAACGAAATCAAAAATTAATGTATGTTCGAGCAATTGAACAAATTTATGATCAAAATGCAACGTTATTCAACATCAAAGTTATAAGTGAATGTTGAATTTTACTTGGATATCTTTATCAACCGAAAGATGAAATTGTCTACCAATCGGATTTGAAGAAATCATATGAATTAGACAATGGTATTATGATATTTCATGCCTCGTCTCCTTATTTTCCTTACATGATCTACATTCTCTTTTGTCTTTTATTCGTACGACCATTGACAAAAATTTTGTTTTCATTGGGAACATATCTACTCAATAGAATTTGTCCGCCATCATTTGCTATTCATCGTTCTGTTCAAAATGAGCTTGAAAAATCGAATATAAATTCGACTTTTGTATTAGATAATCTTTTGGCAAATACAGTCATCGAAAACAAATATAATGACAGACTATTTCTTATACAAGATAAATATCTCATCATGTTGATGATTGATTTTAATGGAAAAAGTCCAGATATTTTACACCAATTTTATGAATATTCACCATTCAGCATTATTTCTATTAGTAGTATCGAATCAGTTAGACACAATCATTTTGTGGTATCAATTGGTCCTCTTCCGAAATATATATATTTATCCAATGACTCACACTTTAGAGGTTCTAATGCTAGTAGTGAATGGCTTCATCAGCGATTAATACACATGAATAACCAATATCGACATCGATAGACTCATTTCATTGTTTAGTTATTTTCGTAAAAAAAATAAACAGGCCTTCTTTTTGTTCTAGTTTCGAACAAGAACAGACTCGTCAACAGCAAGAAATGGCACATGCTCAACAAGAAGAATTCCAACATCGTCTCGATGCTCTTACAAAAGAAGAGGCTGAATATCAATATCTTACCTATGGTTTTGACTTTCAAAGAATGTGGCATCGTATAACATCAGCATCACCTCGTTTCATTGCACAATATCGTTTGGAAGATCGTCAATTGGTCAATACCGATCAATACAATGATGAATGCTCTCTCTTTGTTACGAAGAATTTCATCCTGGTCAAGATATCGGCCAATGGCCCTGCGGAGCTAAACATACTTTTCATTTTGATTGCATGTTGAAAGCATTATGAGCACGAAATACTTGTCCATTATGTCGAAATCCTGTTGAAGCAGCTTCTTTACCTAGTAGAGAGGTTGTGCTTCAATATATGACAGGAAGAATTACATCTCGTTTTTAGCCTTGATATTCAATATAAATTACAAAAGAAAACATTTTTTGCTTGTTTTCTTCTATTCAAAACTCATCTTACCAACCGTATAAGCCAGTCATCAATAGAGAGTTTTGTGATTGGCATTGATTAACCGAGTCAATATCAGGCTAGACAACGTTTTCTTTTTTGCCTCAATAACTGATTATGATATAGAAACAATACTTTAAAAGTGTACTATTCATAAGAAAATATAATCATTTGAAAAATTTTCTCGACGAACGACCACATCAGTAACTTTAATAAACAAGAAAGTAGGATAATAATGGCAAACCACTGGACACACTGCTGTTTTATGTGTGGTACTATCTTGTTTTACGTATTTTATTGATCAGATCTCTCTGAAAAGTCGATAAACTCTAGAACACCGGTGAATCTGGCGATTGCTCAAAAATTAATAACTGTGGCCTTATTTTCGCTTAAAAGTCACGTAAAAAATTAAATTATTTATTAAATATTGAATATTTTACAGTTTATTTTCATTGTTGATTCATAAATTTAGACAAGAGGATAGCTGGCAGCTGTAGCAATACCACATTGATTCTTCTTGTCACGACTCATCCAAATGTAACCTTCTTGACCCCATGATGTTCCCCATGAGTTTTTGACAATGTGGTTCATGTTGGGCTTTCTCAGCTACTTGTTCACTTGAAGGCCAACATTTTGCTAAAACAAAAAAACTCGTTTCACT